AATGGATGAGTAGAAATAGGTTAAAATATGAGTTAGCTAGTAACTAGCTAACTGGATGGCATTTATAATTCATATTAAGCCTCTGTTGGTTATTTGTGAAGCAGCTGCTGAAACACAGAAAAACTCCACCTACAGGGGTTTCTGGCCTGCTCTTTTAATGTGAAGGGGCATAGGGTAGCAAGCCCTACGTTGATGATGGTGACTGGGAGTTTAGGGGACTTAGTGGTTCATAGGATGCAGGGTCCACATATGCTCACCACCAAGCCCTGGGCAAGGTTTTATTTTGCTATGGACTCCTGTCCTACGGCGTGGGATGGTGCCTGCTATGACTAGTTCCTACCCTTGAGGGCCTGGGACCTCTTTGCTATGGCCTTGTATGGGGTTCCTCCTGAAGAAGGCGGATTTGTGAGGGCATTCATGATCAGAGCTATAACTAGCTGGTCAAGATCTGATGAGGGCCAAAAGGGTCCTTAGCGCCCCAAGGGTATGCGACTAGAGGTCCAGGTGCAAGAGCCTGGAAGTATAGGACTGGCTTGATACAGCTCTCATGCGCTACCTAAGCGGTTCAGACCTGTCCAATGGTGCCCCCTGCAGGTTGCCTGACCTGATGGCTGATAAATGCAAGGCTTGGGATCAATTCCTGGGGTCAGGGAACAGAAGCCACTAAGTAGCACATACATAGGGCCACCATAGGAATTCTCTTTATTCCTTGGATATACCTCAATTCTGTTATCGATCCTTGAGCACACCCCAGGAAGACAGAGTCCATTTCACTATTGAGGTGAGTCTACCCATTCCAGAGGGTAACTATTTCCTGTGTGGCCACCTTATAAACCTTGCCTCTCTGAGGACTTCTCCAGAGAGACAAGAGACATGGATTGATCCCACTTTAGGCAGAAATGGATTCAGAAGAGGGAATTCAGGGTTCTGGTTTGGGTGGCGAGGTTCCACTAGCACAAACACCACTGAGGGCTTTCTAGACACTGGGGCTCACTAGTGAGGACTCTGAGAGGGTTTAGGGTTCATCTTCGGCTGGGTCCAAGAGGGGACAGTGCTGGAGTAAGCCAGGGCTGTGGATGGGCAGGGCACCATCTTGTGGGTGATAATGGTCAGTTTAGAGATCCAGTTGCAGGGTCCACTTAGCCCTCTCTAAAGGGTCTTGTCTGGCCCAGAGAGGCAGCTTGGGCCCTCTCACTCTTATGTGGTCTTGGAACCCGGAGGTGACTAAGCTTCTTCTGATGGGGTTCAAGCTCCCAGGAGCATCACCCTGGCCTGTGACTACTGATTAAAGGGTGGGCTGTGGCCAGGCTGCTCCTCTGATGGTGAGCTTATTTTACCAGGCCTGTAAAAATTACATGGGTAGGGGACATAAACAAGACAGTGATCCCTGTGGCTGGACAGTATGTACAGCACGTTCAGTGTCTGGAAAAGCAGTTGCCTTGGCCTGTACTATGCATGGTCATATGGCAGAGGATGGTTTGAGACAAGGTCTCATTTTGTAGCCCTGGCTGTCCTAAAACTTACTCTCAAACTCAGAGACCTGCCCCACTCTGCCTCCCAAGTGCTGGGGTTAAAGGTGTGCACCACAACACCTAGTTAACACTCCTCTTATCAGGCTTTCTACTCTCATGACCTCACAGATAATAATTACTAAGATCTCATGCCATCCTGTTGGGAGCTGGATGTCAGCACATATACTTTTAGGGAGACTCGCATTTCAACAGTGGATGGAGTGTGAGTACTAGCTGGCAGAGGCTGTGGCACTGTGGGAAGGGTTTCTGTGATGCTTTTTACCTCTGTGCACTGCAATAGCCACTCCCTCCAGTTGCCTCTAGGGTATTCCCTGTTCCCATGTTCTGCCCTGGCAGGAGGCCCACAGCACCCACTGTGTAATATCAAGGGACACAGGGCTACGGAAGTCTGGCCCTGCTGCTGTGTGCCCAGCTAGGGTCATGTTTACTCATGGAGGACCAGTGCCAGAGTCCCCTTCAGCCCCCAGGATAAATGCCCATTCAGCCATACAAGGCTCCTTTGTCCTGAAGTGGCTCAGCCCAGGCTGCTGCTGGGCGGCCGGTGTCCTTAGCATGGCCCCAGGCCAGGCTGGCTACCCTACCACATCCAGCTGCCCTACAGGACTTTCTCTGGACAGACTCTGGCTTGGCTGGGAGAGGCCCTAGCAGGGGATAGATAGGGCAGCTCTCAGGACTGGAGAAGCCAGGCAGACAGAGCCAGTGAGGAGGCCTGACTGCAACTTCTACCTCTTAAGGCCTTTTTAATAATGCTCCAAGCAACAGGAAACCCTTGCAACCATATTGCTGCCCTGTTTGTGGGTAGCTGGTCAGCTCCAAGGCTTCGGGCTCTGCTGGGCCCTTAAACCAAGGTGAGAGAAGCCCTGCATCTGACTATAAGTGCTCAGCTAGTGAGTGCTCTGCTTCTCTGAGCCTCAGCACCCCTGTCTGTGGAGTGAGCCTCACAGGCTCTGTCATCTCAACAATGAAGAGCTTCAGGGGGGAGGAGAGGAGGGGAAACTGGTTAGAATTAAAATAATGATGAACCCCCTAGATGAGAGTGTGCCTGTCCTAACTTTATCTGTGTAGGGCTGCTGTGGGTGGATGGGTCTTTGGCAAGCATGTTCCTAAGAGACTATCCCATGGATCTGAAAGATCATGGTAGTGCATTTGGAGACTTGGGCTGAGGAGAGAGACCCAAGGCCCAGGGACAGCTGGCCCCACAAAGCTGGTCAGGTATCTGTTCCAGTAATGCCTAATCTAGCTCTACTGGCCTTCTGTCTTAGTCAGGCACTATCCTCCAAATAGCTTCAACACAGGATACTGGGCTTCTAAGTCTGTTCTCCATAAAGGTCCCCATTTACCTCTGTGGTAGCTCCCCTAGATTCTTGTGGCCCATGAGTGGCTTTAACTCCTGGTGGTAGCTACCTGGGGACCTCCAGCTGCAAACTAGCAGGTAGACTCCACAGCAGGTCCTGGCTGAGGGGTCCTTGCTTCTGGAGTGGCTGGACCTTGGCCTGGGTCTCTTGTTGGGTAGGACCCATATTTAGAGGAAACACTTTACCTCAACTTCAGCCACAGGCATGGGTACCTGTCCCTGTATGCTGTGTTCTAGCCTCTACAGCAAGTCTTCTGGGAGCACAGGAGCAGTACCGATTCTCAGTCCTACCCACACATGCAAATCTCCTCAGCCTGCTTGATGGTTCTTGGGGCTGACTAGGTCACAGATGAGTTTGGGACCAGAGGCTTTGCCAATGCCTGTTCAGAATTCCTGGGCTCTGTAAAGCTTCTGGGCCTGTCCAGGAGTCCTCGGCACACATGTGCCCATTCCCACTCCTGTGCTACAGGCCAGGAGAGCATACAATGGGGTCTGTCTTTTGAGACGCTAACCTTGGTTTGCTGCCTGACTTGAGATGGTCTAATTACCCTTGGCTTTAGACACGTAGCTTTTACGTGTCTGCCCTGGTGTACCATGGTCCACAGATTTCTTTCATTATCTGCAGAATGGTGGAAAGTTGGAAACCACAGCATTTCTTTTTCAGAGAAGTCTGTTTGGGCTCCTTGCTCCATGGAACAAATCTCTAGACTGTTTGCCTTAGCAGCCATTGATGTAGGTACCTCTATATCCTTGTGCCAGGTCAGCAGAAAACTCATCAAGCCTGGTCTGCTTCGCTTTTGGTTTGGTGTAGAAACTTGGGTCTATTTGGATTTGATCAATATAACCCCAAGGTCTCTGGGATAGGGTGTGTGGTGGTTTTGTTTGAGTGCTTGGCTCATGGGTGTAGTGAGATAGTCCTTCTGTGGCACTGACCACGCCTGATGGGGGGGTGGAGCCATGGGCAGAAGTGACCTGTGGAAGGAAGTCGGAGGGAGAGCCGGGAAAAGCTCTCTTGCTGGCGTGACTCGGACAGGAGAGGATTGGGTTGAATTTCCTGGTGTTCATCTGTCTAGGTTGTAAGTTATTTCTCCCTGAATAAACATCTATTCGGCCTATTTGTTTATCCTGATCCTATTTAACCGTGATACATGGGGAGTGGCATTATTAGGAGGTGTGGCCTTGGAGTAGATGTTGCCTTGGAGGAAGTGTCTCACTGTGGAGGGCTTGAGGTCTCCTATGTGCTCAAGCTATGCCAAGTGTGGTACACAGTCTCCTGCTACCTGAGGACCAAGATGTGGAACTGAGCTCCTTCTCCAGCACCAAGTCTGCCTGCGTGTTGCCATGCTTTATAAGAAGTGCTGTGGTCATGGTGCCTCTTCACAGCAACAGAAACTCAAGCTAGGACAGAGTGCCTTTCTCTCAATGTGGCTGACTAGATAGATGCCTGAAAACTGGGCAGGACTTGAACCCACCATCTCCTATCTGCTCATTCTCTAGGGGGATACAAATAAGCAGGCTCAAGAGGTGTTTTCTCCCAGCCAGGGAAATAGGATGACTGATAGGAATAGGTAATGGCTTTCTTTAGTCTCAGGCCAGAGCTGGGCCTTGTGTAGCCAGTTCTTCCAGAGATAACTTTCTGTCTTGGAGGAAACCTCCTTAAGATACAGTATGGTTAGCCAGGAGGTGGTGGCATATGCCTTTAATTCCAGCACTCAGGAGGCACAGGCAGGTGGATACTGTATGGTCTAAAAGGAGGCAAAACATTCCATTCTTCAGGGAACCTCCAGGAAGTAAACAACTCAACAGCTTCAGGAAGTCTCTGAAACTAACCAGATTCACTAGACACTACCTCCACTTCCCAAGTTTCTATAACTGCGGTTCTCAACCTGGGGGGGGGTGTCGAATGGCCCTTTCAGAGGGGTTGCCTAAACCATCGGAAAACACAGATATTTACATTACGATTCATAACAGTAGCAAAATTACAATTATGGCATAGCAATGAAAATAACTTTTCATGGTTGGGGGTCACCACAGCATGAGGAACTATATTAAAGAAAGTTGAGAACCACTGTTATATAAGAACTGCAGAAAAGACACTTTCAAACAAGCTGAACTATCTAGAAAAACAGGTAAGTGAGCTTTATAAACAACAGGACCTGGGTTGCTTTGAAATTAATTAACTTTAGTCATCAAAGTAATGTAACTTAGAAATGAACAGAGATTAAAGACCACACAAAAGAGACAAATCAGACAGACATAGAAATGGGTAGACAGAGGGATGGTGACGGCTGGCTGCAGTCAGATCTTCTCCATCTTAGAGATGAGGTCATCACAGATCCGGGTCAGCTCATCATTTTCTTTAGTCTGAAGGAGAAAAGATAAGGCTAGTTTCTGTAGGGTCTCAGAGGAAGTGGCAACTGAATAGGAAGGTCCCACCCTTCTTAAGTAGGAAAGGAGACTAGAAAGAAAAGGCTGGCCCTGGACTTCCTTAAAGAAAGGGCCAGTAGAGATAAAAAACAAACAAACAAACAAACAACAACAAGAAACCCAAAAACCTCCAGAGCAGGGCCTAAGGTCCTAAGATTGCTGTGCCCTACCTTCTGTTCCACAGTCTTCTCCAGTGAGTGGATCTGCATCTGTGCCTTCCTCAAGCTTGCCTGGAAAGCTAGTGCCTCTGCTTGAGCCTTGCTACGTACTTGGGCGATCTCCTCATTTGCTCTTGAGGGACAGAAACAGAGATATAGGCTAGGCCTGGCCCAGCAACAAGCTAGCTAGCCCTCCCTCCCCAGATAGGTGGCTGGCACTCACAGCTTGAGCTTTTCTTCTGCATGGGCCTTCAGTGCCTGGTACCTCTGGCCTTCCTTTTCAATCTTCACTATATACTCCTCAACACATTTCTTCAGTGAATCTTCATTCTTGAGAATGAGCAGATAGTAAACAATAATGGTGCACTATTCCATCAGAGCCAAAACCTGTCCAGCTTTGGCTATGAGTAGTCTTAGGGTCAGGTGCAGACTGTAGACTGGTAAAGCTTTTGGGGACATTAGTGATATAGAACTTTGCATTTTCCCTTTAGGAAAAGCCTCTTGATGTACATTATGTCTAGAACACCTTCAAGGTACAGACAATTTCTGGACTTCCATCTCTGGAACCCTGGGGGTCTGATTCCCCAGACCCTGTAGTACCAGGTACCAGTTCCTGCCCAAGAGTGCAACTATGAGTAGAACTGTAGTGGGATATTCACAGTGAATATCCCACTACATAGAAGCACTGCACACTGTGGGCTGTCAGCTGCACAATCATGAGGGTTATATGCAGCCTTGCTCTCCACAGCACTCTTTGGGCCTCTCATACCCACAGTAAAAGGTTGACTACCGAGGGTCATGTAGCAGGAGGTGCTAGAGCTCAGTAGCTGGCTCCCAAAATGACTTGTTTTCTCCACAGACACCATAGGGAAAGGCCAGTTTGCTCACCACCTTACCTTTTTTTGTTGTTTTTAGACAGGGTTTCTCTGTGTAGCCCTGGCTATATTGGAATGTACTCTGTAGACCAGGATGGCCTTAACTCAGAGATCTGCCTTCGTCAGCTGCCCAAGTATTTGGATTAAAGGTGTGTACCACCGCCCCCTCCAGCTCAGTTTGCCCTTTCTTGCAAGGTTTGTGTGTGAGTGTGTGTGAGTGTGTGTGTGTGTGTGTGTCTGTGTTGTGGTATTGTTGGAGATTGACCAAGGGCCTCATCTATGCCAAGCATACTAACACTGAACGGAGAAACCCCTAGTCTCCTCTGAGGCTCCATGCTTACAGACTAAACCTATGCTTCACAGATCTGGCTGTGCTCCTCTGCAAGAATCTACTGGGTACAGCTTGTCTTGTCGATAGGACATCACATAGTCTGGTGTCAATGAAAAGTAGTCACGGACCCATGCACACTAACACAGCTCATGGCCCTACTCTTTGGGCTATGCCTTGTTACACGAGGACCAAAGGGGACACAACGCACCTTGCGGTAGCCTTCAATCACTTCTTTCTGCTTCTCAAACCTCTTGAAAAGGTCAGAGAAGGACTTTTCAATGGAGTTCAGGTCTGCAGTAAGTTGGTCTTTCTCTTTTAGAACCTTTTTGATTTTGTCTTCTGCGAGTTCCTTCTGTCTCTCAGCCTCCTCTTTAAAAGGTTAAGTATCTGGGATTAGGAAGCAGCTACTACACTGGATGCCAGAAACAGCCCCCAAACAAAGGGTGAGACAGAGTAGCAGGAGAGATGGGTAGCCAGGAGCAGGATGCAGCAGGTATGGACACTACTAACGGTCTCATAACACAGTAAGTGCCCTTCCCCCTTCATGTTCTCTGGGATGAAACATAGACTGAGACCACAGCTGCCTCTTCCATGTCAGTCTCAGGAGGAGTTTGGCCCAGGACATAGCAGTGCGACACTTCGGTAACACCAGCAAGACTGGAAGAAGCAAGTGACATCGCGGTGGACTTAAGGTTCATGCGAGGGCATATGTCATATGCTTTATGGGTCTCAGGGCAAAGAAGAGTGGTTAGATCCCTACAGGGACACCGGGTTTCTACTTGGATACTTTCAATTATCTCTGGAGAGGGGAAGGCAGGACAGGGCCATGGCACCTGCGCCTCATTAGAACTTTGGCCACCAGCTGTTCAGTGAATGTCACTCATGTGGGTCTCTCCTCCCATCATGAACCCTCACCCTTCGTGGCTTCAGAGCACAGATTAGAAGAAACGGACAGTATATTGTTACCTCAGCACTCACCCATTGATTTGTACACGATCTTCTCAAACCCATCCACGATCTTCCTATAGAAGGAGAGAAGATGATTATCTGTGGCTCCTCATGCAAGTAGACCAAGGTCAGCATTGGTGCCTGCAGTCTTACCCCATCTCCAAGTACTTCGCATTGATGTCCTCATACTTGCTTCTCAGCTCCAAGTTCTCCTGTTGCGTGGCATTCACCTACAAAAGCCACATATCTGGTTGGCAGTTGGACCACAATCACAGGCCTGTGGGTGCCTTTCTCACCAGGCCAGGATTGTTTCATTCATACCCAAGGTCTCTGAAGCCATGCCACTGAGTTAAGGGAACTCCATTCATAAAGCCAAGAAGTTGGGCCATGCTCATGAGGGCAACCTGCTGCTATGGTAGAACCCAGCAGCGAGTATCTCAGTGTTAACCAATTAGCCACAAGGGGGCACCACAAGCCCAAGTTCAGTGTGGGACTCTCAGGCCTGTCCTGGTGCTGTTCATTGATCTCTAGACAGAAGCCTGCAGGAAATCCCTGTAGACAGTCTGTGTGTATCTGGTCAGAGTACACACTGCACTTACAATAGCCTGTACCTAGCTCTCGGCTATTCTTCCAAAACAGCCTCCCATTTTTACAGCGCAGACACCAGGCCGTTCTCACCAATGCGTCCAGGTCTTTCTGGCTGTACTGCAACACATCCACAATAGGCTCAGCAGGAAGGAGACCTCTTGGCTCAAGGACACACAAGGGTGGGCCTGGCACCTGTGGGAGTAAAACATGGGCCTTCAAGATGTCATTCATCTCTTTAGTCCACAAAAATTGCCCCAAAGATGCTGAAGTACTTACAGGAACATCCAGAGCTCCCAAGAAATCTAAGTCCACAAGCTTGGCTTCCATTGGATTTCCCGAGCCAGCCTCATCCACGTCCTGTACACTGAAACCAAACAAGCAGCAAGATCACCTCATGCTCCTGAGTACTGAATAGGGTGAAAAAGTCAGTTGTCTTGACAAGCTTTGTGTGAGGGACTTAGTCTAAAAATAAACGCTAGACACCCAGAATGTGGAAGCGGGCCTGGCAGTTACAGCTCATGTCCTCCTTCTCCCTCCTGTCTACTCACTGTCCCTATGAGCCATGCCTTGCTCACAGCAAGCTGTGCGGATGTTGTAGATGCCTTACTGTGGTGTCTTCAGAGTGCACAGGGGGCATACCTAGTTAGAGATGTCAACTCTTCTCTGGCTTTCAAGGGTCTCATGTGAAATTTAACAAGTAATTCTCAATAATACTTGATTACATTTTCTTCCAAAGTAGTAGACACTAGCCTGGATTTGAAGGCCCCAAGGCTTCTGTCACAACTATTCAGATCTGATTTATAGTATAAGTTGTCATAAGTGATTCATGAAGGAACAGGCATGCCTGTGGAACTAGAATTCCACTCATAAAAACAAATACTATCTGACCTGGTTCAGTTTGTAAGTTCTTGTATATTTAATGCTTGCGTCTACTAGGTACCCTATGTGGAGAGAGCATGGCAAGCTCCTTACTAAAATATGGACTACCTCATAGATGTCCTGTTTGTCTGTCCCCATTACTAATTCTAGTTCAGTTAGCCCTTTCCTAAAAATTTTGAATCAGTTAGTACACTTAGTAACAGCTACTAGTCTGCCTGGCTCATGCTAACATCTTCAAAGGAGGGACATACCTATTTGTCACCGGGACCACTGGCATTGGCCGCAGAGGGCTCTCTTTCAGGAGTGGATCAAATTTCAAGTACAAAGACTGCTTCCTCCATGCTGACTCCTTAAACTGAGAGTTGGAGAGATGGGACAAGGAAAATAAACAAGATTCACCATTGCTTTAACAGATACAGCCCCAGAAGCCAGGGTGATCTTATTGAGCAAAGGGGGCTAGGGAGACAACACAACCTGGTGAGTCCAGAATTATCTGGGAGTGAGGGGTGGACACAAGGCATGACCAGAAACTATACAGGAACTAAAGGATGCTCCAGGTACCAAGGATAAATGACTGGATTATACATTTCAGTTGAGGCTGCCATCAAGTGCTAAGTACCTACCGAGGAAGTTCCAAACTGCTCTAGATAATCCACTTCAGCACCAGTACCTAGAACTGAAACAGTGAATAACAATTGTTATTTACCTCGAAAGCTGCAGGCTTGAGGGCTGCACACTCAAGTACTTAACAGTGAGATCACTGTTTTTTATTTGGGGCATGAGATTAAAGGTGTGCACCACCAGTACCCAGCAGGATCAAGGATCACTGTTCTTTGAAATATATTCAGAGACTATTCTGTTCCCAGCAGTCTAACTAGCAGCTTCTCTGCTTCTATGAAGAGAGGCCCAGCCAAGTCCCTGGTTTTGTACAGGGGGAGAAATCCTTCCTCTCTCCCCTTCATATTCAGTAGACACTTAAAAATTCTATCCAAAGTCGACTGAATGTGATGATGTGGAACCAATAGAGTGTCCCAACTATTACTTTTTCTTTCTGGAGATAAGCCAGACTGGCCTTGAAGTCCCTATGTAGCTAGCTAGAGGACCTTGAAATTTTTTGTTTTCTCTTTTTCATCTTTTTGAGACTATTTTTCTGTGCAGCCCTGGCTGCCCTAGAACTCACTCTATAGACCAGGCTGGCCTCAAACTTAGAGATCCACTTGCCTCTGCTTCCCCAGTGCTGGGATTAATTAGAGGCATGTGCCACCACAAAATTTTTCTTTTAAATTAACTTTACTTATGTGTATGTACGTTTGCCCAGGTGAAACTATGTAAGTAAACATGCATAAAGGAGCCTGTGGAGGTCAGAAGAGGGCACTGGACTCCACGGTACTGGAGTTTCAGGTGGTTGTGAGCTACCACATGGGTGCTAGGAACCAAACGCAGGTCCTCTATAAGAAAAGTAGGAAGTGCTCTTTTTGTTTGTGTTTTGAGACAGGATTTCTCTGTGTAGCCCTGGCTGCCCTGGAACTTTCCTTGTAGACCAAGCTGGCCTTGAGTTCACAGAACTCTTTGCTGCCTCTGCCTCCTGAATGCTAGGATTAAAGGTTCATGCCTGGCTGATCATCGTGTATCATCACAGCAATAGTTATTAGTCCTAAGAAAATATCTCATCCCCCCCCCCCTTTGGTTTTTTGAGACAGGGTTTCTCTGCCTATCCTTGGCTGTCCCAGAACTTACTCTGTAGGACCAGGTTGTCCTCGAACTCGGAGATCTGCCTGCCTCTGCCTCCTGAATGCCTCTGCCTCCTGATTAAAAGTGTGCACCACCACTGCCTGGCACATTATCTCATCTTTTTAAGGACTAAAAGTTTACATGTGAATTAGCGAGACAGCCTCTGGAATAACTACGTACAATCTGTAGGAATTTATGTGTCCACAGGGATTTTAAGGAAAACTGATGGTGAAAATATTGGGTCCACATACCTTCTGCTGGGTCTCTGAAGTTCTCTTCCTCTGGGTCTAAGATAGGCTCTGGTTTCTGATGAGAAGGCTCTAGCACTGGCCCAATAGGAGGGGCAAGGTCACCATCCACAATAGGTTCTGGTCCTTGATGAGAAGGTTCCAGCACTGGCTCAATATAAGGCGCATTATCACCATTCATGATAGGTTCTGGTCCCTGATGAGAAGGCTCTAGCACTGACTCAACAGGAGGGGTGGCGAGGTCACCATCCATGATAGGCTCTGGTCCCTGATGAGAAGGCTCCACAATTGGCTCAACAGGAGGGGTGGCGAGGTCACCATCCATGATAGGCTCTGGTCCCTGATGAGAAGGCTCCAGCACTGGCCCAATAGGGAGGACAGCGAGGTCATTATCCACGCTGCCATCCATGACAGGTTCTGGTTCCTGATGAGAAGGCTCCAGCACTGGCCCAATAGGGGGGGCAGAGAGGTTATCATCCATGCTGCCATCCACGATAGGCTCTGGTCCCTGATGAGAAGGCTCCAGCACTGGCCCAATAGGGGGGGCAGAGAGGTTATCATCCATGCTGCCATCCATGACAGGTTCTGGTCCCTGATGAGAAGGCTCCAGCACTGGCCCAATAAGAGGTGTCAACAGGATATTGTCCTGAGAGCTCGTAGAAGCTGAAGTGCTTGAGGAATTCAAGATTACCTCCTAGAGAGAAAGTCAGCATCACCTTGCACAGTGAGGACCCATTCTTCTTAAAATAAACCCAGAAGGGGAAGCAGCTCTAGGGGAAGGGAAATAGTAATATATCCCACCCTGTCACCAGAGGACTGCTAGTGGCCTCATCTGCCATGTTATTTTTCTTTGTTTCGAGACAGGGTCTCACTCTGTAGCCCTGGCTGTCCTAGAACTCACTCTGTAGACTAGGCTGGACTAAAACTCAAGAGATCTGCTTGCCTCTGCCTCCCAAGTGCTGAAATTAAATGTGCACATATACATACCTGGATCTCACCTTCTGCTCTTAGGATCTCGGCTGCCATCTGGACCACAGGTGTATCATCCACTGGGGCTAACGGCAGCTGACTGGAGAGACAGAGTCATCAGAGCTGGGTCTCCCCCATGTTCCCTGCTCTGGCATTAAACTATTATTTACCTCCCTCTTATGTTGGTTCACTTGAGAAGCTGTTCATGCTAAAAGATACATGAAAGTTATCTGGAGGTAACAGACTACTTGGCTGCTGGCACGTTAGCACCTAAGGACAGGGGCTTGCTGTGTTACCAACCAGCTGTCTCTTACCTGAGTAGTAACCTATACTTTTTCTTTTCCTTTATTTTTTTGGGGGGGAGGGTGTAGAGAGATGGTCATACCACATAGACAAGTTTGGCTTCAAACTCTTGTCTGACTCAGCTACAATGCTAGGGCCAGAGGTGAACTACCTGCACTGACTGTTAGTTAAGCTGCCCACGTGCTGCTGTGCTTCACGAAAGACAGCACTGCAGTGCCTCCCTCAAGATCTCAGGGCAGGGACTATGAAGCTATGCCACTCTAGTTTTAAACAAACCTGAAACCTGTTTGTCTTGAGACTATGGAAGGGAAGCAGTATGATGGGTACATAAACAAGTGACACTGGGATTAAGAGCACTGGCTGCTCTTCCAGAGGACATGGGTTCAATTTCCAGTACCCACATGGCAGCTCACACCTGTCTATGACTCCAGTTCCAGGAGCTCTGACACCCTCACACAGATATACATGCAGGCAAAACACCAATGATCGGAAAAACAAACAAAAAAAATCCCAAAAAACTATAAAAAAAAAAAAAGAAGTGGCATTTTTGGATGTAGGTCCCAGATTACACACACCATTAAGAAGCTGCTCCTGACAGAATGTTCCCCTTTCCTACTTACTATGGAGAGTTCTCCATATCTGCAGGCCTAGCATTCAGCTTGCTCAGCCACAGGCAAGGCCAACCTGCTTTGGGGACTTTGTGGAAGCTTAGTCTTTTTGCCATTATATCTGGAGTCACCTCCAAATAAGCTCAAGTTTGGGTCATCCAAATGTTCCCAGTTAAGGTGGTAAAAGCCCCAGGAAGCAGACTGGGGACATTCATCTCTCTTGTCCCATCTCCTGCTTGTTTGGGGGCCTGCTCCTGGCTGGCCTCTGATTTCTTCAGGAGAGGCTGGAGGCCAGTTCTCTCCACCAGTCTCCTTGGTGAAGACACCTTTGTGTTGGTGGTATCATCAGAGAAGTCAAATTCTAGCCTTATGGAGTCATGACTTGAATGGATGACCATTTGGCCAATGGATTCTTCTTGAAGACTTGGGTCTGTGGCCCCATCTGTCTAAAGAGGGCCAATTGGGATTGAGTTCTTAGAACTCATGAACACAAATGGAAAGGAGTTTGGGTGCCTGCTGCTGGCTCAAGGGTGCCTACAATCCTGGGGCAAGCTGAGAACTCATACTTCAGGTCTGGAGTGTTTTGCTTAGCTTTACTAACTAAACTGGTTCTATACTAAATGAACTCTTACTTAAACTGCCCATGTCTCTCTTGAATGAATTCATTCTTTCATAAGAACTGAAAGGCTGCCACACCACCTCCTAGATTGGGACCTTGGCCATACTAGAAGATAACCCCTGGAAAATCAAATACCTAGACAACCACTCTGGTCATTCCCCCACCCTCCACCAAACAAGCTCCATGAGCTACCACCTCGGCATCATGCTGTCTTTAGTATGCAGGCTCAGATGAATACTTTAAAAATAATGAATGGCAATATGGCACATGCATGGCTAGATCACCAAGGATAAGCTAACAAGTGACATTCATAACAGGTACTACTCAGAGCTGTCCTCCCAGCAGTACAGATAGAGACAAGAACTTCCTTGGCCTCAAAGGCTAGATTCACAGCAACCAAGAGCCACCAATTGCTTGCTCTGTGTTTCTGAGGTTGTTATAGACCAACAGTGTTCCACTAATCTCATCTGGCTGAGTTTCAGAAAAACACAAAATGAAATTGTAAATTAACAAGGACACCTGAAAAGAGCAACAGATTTAGAGGTGCTTTGAAAGGACAGAGATGGCACAGAGCTGAGAAATGCCGTGGCATTAAACTTAAGAGCACAGGAATGTTTTATTCCTCATATATATATGTTTCAAACAGTGGAATCAGTAAAAAAATAGAACAAAACCATACCAGACACCCCTCCTGCTCTGGATAAAGATGTGTGTTCCTGGTACCAGGTTGGTGAAGTAATAATTCCAAGGCCCTCCTTTCTAGGCAGTCTTAGAAAAATGGGTTAATATTTAAAACAGAAATAGCCAATAAGAAATGCTAGTAACAGGCTAACAGCTTTATACTTAATACAGTTTCTCTGTGTGTAATTTGGGGGCTGACGTGGCTCTGGGACCAGGGTGGCGGGCAAATTGCTAGTAATCTGCTAGTATCTGCTTGCCAGTTCAGTAGGATTTCTGCCAGGGAAATGCCTAATGCACCTGTGGATGAAGCTTTTCCCCATCCTTTTAGCCACATCTATTCTTTTTCTTTTTTTTTTTTTTAAAGGCCACATCTATTATTAGTTCTTCTTTTGTGGATATTTGCATGAAGATATGTGGATGCATGTGCACATTGTACATGTATGGTATATGTACATATATACATATGTGTGCCTAAGCAGCCAGGAGTCAACACTAGATATATCTTTCTCAACCATTCTCCACTTTATATCTTGGAAGTCAATGATTTGGCCAGAAAGCCCCAGGTTCTCCAATGCCTACCTCACTAGGACTGGAATTAAAGGTGTATAGTTCTGGTTTTTGTTTAAGATTTATTTATGTAAGCCTGGCGTTGGTGGTGCCCACTTTTAATCCCAGCACTTGGGAGACACAGGCAGGAGAATCTCTGTGAGTTCGATGGGAGAGGGCAGCCTGATCTACAGAGCTAGTTCCAGGACAGCCTTCAAAACCACCGAGAAACCTGTCTCGAAAAACCACCAAAAAAAAAAAAAAAAAAAAAAAAAAAAAAGATTTATTTATTTATGTACTTTATTGACACGAAGAGCTGTCTTCGAGAACACCAGAAGAGGCATCAGATCCCAATATAGATGATTGTAAGGCACCTTGTGGGTGCTGGGAATTAAACTCAGACCCTCTGGAAGAATAGCCAATGCTCTTAACCACTGAGCCATCTCTCCAGCCTGTGTTCTGGCTTTTTAAAATGTAGATACTGAAGACCGAACTCAGGTTCTTATGCTTGTGTAGAACAGTACCAAGGGAGTCATTTCCCAAGCTCCGAATACTTTCTCTACATGAGTCCTATCTGCTCTGTCCAAGTGTTGAGCGTGGGAAGGCAAGTGCTGATTTCAAGCAGAAGGGAGAGATGAACAGAACTCAATACGAAGGAAACTATAGGTAATTTTTTCTGGAAATGAGATCTTCTCATTTCATCAAGTTATAAAAAAAAAAAAAAAAAGACTGGACTCTTTCAGCCTAGATATGGGTGGGAGGGCCTAGGCCCTGCCCCAAATACTTGACAGATTTTGATGATCCCTCATGGAAGGGCTCACCCTCCCTGGGAAGTGGATGGAGGATGGGGCAGTCAGTGGGGGCATGGAAGGGAGAGGGAACTGGTATTGATATGTAAAATAAGGTGACTTATAATAAAATATATAAAAAAATAAAGACTGGATGGGAGGGGCACAGCAAAAGAGTGAAGCATGGAATTAAAACAGTCCAATTATCTGATGACTAACTCCACTAACAACAGCCAGATTCTGCACTTCCAGGCAGTGATCAGAGAAAAAGAATAGTCCAGCTATGGTGACAGGGCTGAAGGCTTTTGCAGCAACCCTAGAGAGGACAGAATTGCAGGACACTAAATGTGATCAACACTTACTTCTCCTTCTGTAAGCAGATGTATCGATTGTTTTCTAATCCAATATCGTCATCCAGAGCAAAAGGGGTCTCGAGTTTGCAGGTCATATTAGGACTTAAGATCCGGTGTGTCTGTGGATCCCGAAGAGGTGTCTGAAAAGTCACCTAGGGAAAGGTGAAGAGTGTGTTCATGCTCTATGATACAACCCCTCACAAGCAAGCCAAAGCGCTACAGGGTAAGGGCCTCAGAAGCTGACCCCAGAGCACCTGATGAGTAAACACATTACAGTCCAACTCACCTTTGCAGCTTTGGCCTGGTGCTTGGGTGGTACATTTTCTTTCTGTGACGGAAGAAGAACAGAGGATCTTCCGGTAAGTTCCGGTTGTGAAAACAGGAAGTTAGAGCTCTCTGAACTCTTTTCTCTGGGGACATTTTCGTCATTTAAGATATGCAGGCTCATTCTGGAAAAACAAAACAAACAGAATATATTTGTCATAAGGAAGTCAATGATGCTACAGCCTATGTACAGAAATGCCCCACAAATACATCAAGGAGACACCTCTTCCTGAACAGGTAAAGCTAGTACCCTTCACAGGTATAGTTAGTACTTCACATAGGGGTCATCTGCCAGAGAAAGCCTCAAAGTCTCTTGTATTAGGTATACTGCTAGCTCCTGAGCCAACTGCTAATAGGGTTCAGGTGGAGAAAGAAAGAACCAGGTGTTTATAGAATGACTTGCATTAATGTATTACACTTCAGGGCAAGAGCTAGGGGATTTATTTAATCCTGGCTTTAAGAAAAATCAAAGAGCTGGGTGGTAATGATGAATGCCTTTAATTCCAGCACTAGGGAGGCAGAGGCAGGACGATCTCTGTGAGTTCAAGGCCAGCCTGGTCTACAGAGTGAGTTCCAGGACATGCTCCAAAAGTACAGAGCAACCCTGTCTCTAAAAAGTAAAACAACAACCAACCCCCAAAACAAACAAACTAACAAAAAAACCCCAAAGAAAGTGGGCACTAGTGGCACATACAAGCCTTTAATCTCAGCACTTAGGAAGCAGAGGCAGGGGACCATGGGTTCTTGGGGGTGAACCCCTGGGAGCTCCCTGGTTGAAGAGCAAGGAGAGGTACTGGGGAGAGGCTGCTGCTGACTCTGCTTTAGGAGCCTGTGAGGAAAGACAGGAGGGGAGAAAGGACAGAAATAGCAGTTCCTATAACGAAAGAGAGCCAGTGAGCTCCAGGGATCCTCCAGTCTGCCTGCCCAGTGTTAGGACTACAAGCAGGTGTGGCCACGCCATGCAATTTTTAGGTGGGTTCAGAGGGCCTCAAGTCAGGTCTGCATGCATGTTACTGAATGAGCCATGTCCCAGCCCCTGGAGGGACTGGGTATAAAGATTGACAAGCCAGGCTTGGGTTCTGCGTCTTCTTGGTGCAGGAGTAACTGTGGGGTGGGAGAGGAGTACACACAAGCTTTTGATTTTGCTGTGCTGTTGCACCTGTCTTTGGGAGATTAAGCATGGAGTCAAGATGCCTATGGGAGATGACACAAGTGAAATTGAGATGTCTCCCAGGTGGCGTGTTGGGAGTAGGAGGAGAATAAAGGAGCTAAGATGCGCTGACTCAGGAACAAGAAACTGTCCCTGGGACAGTGTTCAGGACGACAGCCAACAGTTACAACAGTTTTTCAGAAAGGTGGAAGAAAAAGACCTGGGGCATAGGACGTTCTAGCTCCGAGACGCGTGTCTCATACACGACACATTCGACAAAAACAGGGGCCTGGGGAGATAAATAAGCCACGCGCGGCCTCTTCGGAGGACATCAGTGGGTCAGACAGAGATCACCGGCAGGCCGGCCGGCCGGCCCAACCCGGAATGCAGCCCGCGGGCACCAGTTCTGCCTAGGAGGCTTGGTAGATCCGTTATCCCAGAAAAGGGCTCTTGAGCCAGGGGTGGGCCCTCAACAAAGGGAGACGGCGAAGCTGAGCGTAAGGAGCCGCAACCCAGCGCGGGCTGATCCCCACCTCTCGCCCACGGGAAATGGGAAGTCGCCGTTTACCTGCCTACTGCTGACGGGCCCTTGGCCCGCGCCGCCGCCAACCGCAGGAGAGGAGCGCCGCCCTTGCTCTACGCTGGGAGTCCGAGCTGAGAAACCGAGGCGAAGGGACTCCAAAAAGCTCTGCTTTCGCAGTTCGTGACTGTCGTCCGCTGAGCCCGCCCCAGATTCAAATACCGAGAGTTGACGTTCCGCGGCCAATCAGCGCGCGGCAGGAGAACGCCACAACCGCTGAAGGCCAATAGTGGGCGGCACTGGTCCCGCCCTTCACGCGCAAGCAGTTCCGTTTCCGGGGCTGAGGGCACAGTGGGGAGCGTCGGAGCGTGTGGGCACTGTGGGCTCGCATCGCAGGCCATGTCGGCTAGTCGGTAGCCAGTTGCTGTAGGGTCCGACAATCTCAGCCGTTATATGGGACCAGCTGCAGGGTCTTCCCCGAGATGCTTATAAGGGAGAGGCTGCACCCATGAGGGGACCTCTGGGTGGCTCGCAACTTGTGGGCCGGCGCGAGGTTCCGAAAGGCTTCTCAGAGTGCCCCGGGAGGCCTCACGAGACTCGGTCTCCCAGAGGTCTCTCTGGGTCACCTGATGGTGAATTGTCTCCCACAGTGCCCCGCGGGCAGCAGAAGGCCGTACTCCATCTCCTAGAATGCTTTGCGGGTCCCTAGACAGGAGATACTCAGTCTCCCAGAATGCCGCGCGGGCAGCCTGACTCAGTCTTCCAGAGTGCCTCGAGGGCAGTTTTGCGGTGGCTGCGCCAGGCTACCAACTGTCCGGGACTGGACGCCCCTGTGTCTTCCCGGCGCGGTGAGCCTCGTCACGATGGACAGCCCTGAGGTGACCTTTACGCTGGCCTACTTGGTCTTCGCAGTGTGCTTTGTGTTCACGCCCAACGAGTTTTACTCGGCCGGTCTCACTGTGCAGAACCTGTTGTCGGGCTGGCTGGGCAGCGAGGACGCCGCTTTCGTGCCCTACCACCTTCGTCGCACTTCCGCCACGCTCCTCTGTCACTCACTGCTGCCGTTGGGTGAGCCTCCTGTGCGCGAGCCGGTTGTTAGCGCTTGACAGGGCGCTTGGAGACTCCGAGAGTGATGAGGCTCCCCGCCATAACCGGCTCAGAAGCCGGTCAGTGCAGATGCAAGCGGGCAAGGGTCCCCGTAGTTGAGGCTGTAAACAGCTCTCTAGGGCACCCTGTGCTTTTCCCAGTTGGGAGGCAGCAGCTCAGGCGCTGGCCTTTGAGTGGTGCTCAGGTGGGGCCGTACTCCAGTCTGACATTACTGTGGCTGGAGTGCAGAATCGTTCAGCCTGTGTGCGATGTTGGGTGATCTCTAGGAAAGGGCGTCTGTGGACTTGACTCATTACAACAGGGGTCGGAGGGCTACCCGGGAAAGGGGTGTGGTGACAGCAGGTAGAGATGAAAACGTTCACGGTTGGGTACAGTGATGCAGTCTTGTTTTCAGGCCAGGTTTTCAGGTCCTGTCCAAGGGAGAGCGTGTGTGGTGCCCCATGTGTTACTGTAGCCTCTGACAGGTCCATCTGTCAGCTATTGGGAGGATGCATCGGCGAACTGCTGGGATAGAGCAGTGATTGGAGGCTAGGAACCGGGTGAAGGAGACCTGTGGAGGGTACAGAGACACGGAAAGCCAGGTCTGGGGGAACAGGTGTCTGACAGCCTGCCTGCCATATTTGTAGCCCAGGGATGATTGGGGTGAGGATGCAGCTTCCTAAGCTCCAGGGAAGTGGAGGCAGGTGTGGTAATAGAAGGACTCAGGCCTGCTTTCAGAGGAGGGTGGGTTGAGAAGACTCCTTGCAGAACTGGAGATGGAGCTGGCATGCCTATGAGGTTGTGTGGCTTGAGAACCTACTGCCTTGTAAGGAAAATAAAGAAGGCGGGCTCTGAGTAGGACTGCTGGACAAGGGCTGCCCAGCTGGTTTTTGATGCCCCCTAGCGCTGCTCATTTCATAGGCACTCCCATGCCTGAGCAAGGAACCCAAAGTTAGTAAGCACAAGTCACTCAAGGATAGAGGCTATGTGGAGACCTGACAGACAGTGGAGCTGGCTTTTTTGTTGCTCCATAACTATAACAAGCTATTTTGACATGAAATGAGTTGGCTAAAAGTAAACATTTACTATTGGTTTTGAGAGTTGTTCCTGGTTGGGCCAACAGGGCACTAAAACTGGTTCCTTTATTCTTACAACATGCCTTATCATTGAGTACTTGCTTACTTTCTTGTACAGTCGTCCTGGCTCTGAGATGGGCTATGTTGGATCTGCCTCCTCAGAGGAGGCAAAATTGAGAGACCCAAGATGTATCCCGAAGAACTGCCTCAGGTCCACCAGTGGTCCTTTTGTTTTTTTTTTTTTTTTTTTTTTTTTTTTTTGGCGGGGGGTGGGGGGGTGGGGTGGAGGTGAGTTTCTCCAGACAGGGTTTCCTTGTGTAGATCTGGCTGTTCTGGAACTCGCTCTGTAGACCAGGCTGGCCTCAAACTCACAGAGATCTACCTGCCTCTGCCTCCATAGTGGTAGGACTAAAGGCATGCACCACCACTGCCCAGAAACTTTTGCTTTCTCTCCACCCTCCTCCCCTTACTTGGCTATTTCTGTGAAATTATAGTAGTAAACTGAAAGCATTTCCCTGTAGTATGTGGTACCACTGCTGTGACTAAGGGCTGAGGCAGGCCTGCTGTGGGGGTACAGGAGTAAGGGCAACATGTTCTGGGAGCTAACCATGCCCTAGGTGGGTCACCATGGGGGAGACAGCACCCAACAGCCAAGACTTCCCCTGAGATGTCTTTTCTTCTGCAGGCTACTACATGGGCATGTGCTTTGCAGCCTCCGAGAAGCAGCTCTACTCCCCTGGTCAGGCCTCAGAGGCCTGGCAGTTCCTCCTTCTCCTAGCTGTGACCCTTCCCCTTGTCTCCTGTACCCTGATTTACTACTGGTCCTGGGACAAATGGACCCGACACCCACTGGCCCAAACCCTGGCCCTCTATGCCCTTCCACAGTCAGGTTGGCAAGCAGTTGCCTCTTCCATCAACACAGAGTTCCGGCGGATTGACAAGTTTGCTACCGGGGCACCTGGTGCTAGAGTGATTGTGACAGACACATGGGTAATGAAAGTGACAACATACCGTGTGCATGTGGCTCAGCAACAGGATGTTCACTTGACTGTGACAGAGTCTCGGCAGCATGATCTCTCACCAGACTCAAATCTACCTGTGCAGCTTCTTACCATTCGTGTGGCCAGCACCAGTCTTGCTATGCAGCCCTTTGATATTCGGTAAGTGTGGTGGTTTTGGAGGGTACATGACTTATCCTGTCTGTACTTCATGCACCTCTTAGGAGGCGCTGAGGGTGGGGAGGACTGAGGCACTCCTGGGGCCTATGTGACATCAGTCAATTGACTACTTTAGTGTCATTTCCTTCAAGGTCCCTCTTGCCTTCTGCTATTTTTGTTGCTCCTTCTCCTCTATTATTGAACTGTCCCTACAAATTCTTGAGATAGCCTAGGAATGTAGATTGGTAGCACCTCAGCTCCAGGCTCTTCCTATCCTCTCTACTGGGGATGCGTGACCACTGAGTCTATATACTCTGCCTGTAGGGCTGTCTTTAGTAATTACTTTACTAAGGTGACTTGTTTTCCCTGGCCTTGCCTGCTTTTGGTTCTGGGTGCCTTTTGGTTCTGGGTTGTGTACCCAAGGGCAGATTGGCTCAGCTCATCAAGCCATGCCTCTTCCAGGCTGAACTCAGCGGAATATGGTGAACTATGTGAGAAGCTCCACGCCCCAATCCGAAGTGCAGCCAACGTGGTTATTCGCCAGAGCCTGGGTGACCTCTTCCTAGAAACATTTGCTTCCCTAGTGGAGGTCAACCCAGCCTATTCAGTGCCCAGCAACCAGGTGGGGGCTGGACCAAGTTGGAGGGGGGGGTTACCCCACCTTCCTCCCAGGAGCACCTTGTAGGCCTTTTTGTAACCCATTTTGTTCCAACTGCCTCTTTGTAGGAGCTGGAGGCATGTATAGGCTGCATGCAGACACGGGCCAGTGTGAAGCTGGTGAAGACCTGCCAGGAGCCAGCAGTGGGCGAATGCCAGCAGTGTTATTGCCGTCCCATGTGGTGTCTCACTTGCATGGGCAAGTGGTTTGCCAGCCGCCAGGATCCCCAGCGCCCTGACACTTGGCTGGCCAGCCGTGTGCCCTGTCCCACTTGCCGTGCCCGCTTCTGTATCCTGGATGTGTGTTGTATACGCTGATCATCACAACCTAGTCTTTATCTCCACTAGCCACTTACAAGGGGCTGCTAAAGCTCCTTGACCTTGGCAAAAGGTTCTAGTCAAAGCACACACTTATATACAGCCTCTATCTGCCTTGAGTCTGTGGTAGGTTGAGGATTCTGATTTAGAAGAAATTCTCATGGAAATACCCTATCCTGTACCTTCAGCATCTTCTCTTCCTACTTACCTCCAGGTGGGGCTGGTATTTTACATAGAATGCTCCAAAGCCCCAAGATGTTGGCGTTTGGCCAAAGAGCTTTCATTTGGCCAATTTGCCTTAATTCTATTACAGATCATATCTGCCCCTCAGAACATTGACAGTTAAAAGCCAGACCTGTATCTGTCCCAGGGCCTGTGGTGTTCGGTGGAGGCTGACAGTGCAGAGGGTCAGTGGGGTGCCACTCTAGTGTGAAATCCTTTTCTAGGGTATCCTGTTGGCTACAGCCAGCTAAGGGACCACTTCTAGGTAGGGAGGCAGGGGCAGCAACCCAGGACCAGGCCATGAGTGCTCTCCCAAGTTTCTCATGAGGGTTGCATATGCTTTAGAGGGCCACTGTACTTTTGGTGTCTTCTCTTGCTTCTTTAGTCCAGAGGAGACCAAGACCTGGTGCTCCTGGCCCTAGGCAGGGGTTTTAGGGAGCTAAGGACCAGAGAACCATGGCACTATGCAGAAGAAACCCACCAGAGCTGCAGTACAGGGTTAGCTAGGGCCCTTGTGGGTTGCTTGGATCAGGAGAGAGGACCTCAGTGGTCAAGGTTCTGATGGGCATACTATTCATTTATCTGGTGCAGATGGGAGGGGAAGAGGTTGCCGTTTACCCTCCATCTCTGATACAAGTAGCCACTGGAGGGAGGACCTCTCCTTCAACTTGTGGCCCTGAAGCCCTACATTTGACTGTTTCAAGCAGTATTGACAGGCCAGCCCTTTACCCAGCCAATGCTGCACGTAACCCCAGGGATTTGCTAGCAGAGGGAGCCCAGTTCTGCCTGTCCATGAAGGATGGCTAGGACTGAGCCAGTTTCAAGGGTTCCCTCCAGAGGCCAAATGGTTTGAGGTTATTTTTTTTTAACCACAGAGGAGTTAATTTTATAAGGAGAAATGTAAATGTCGTAAAATGATACAGCATTTAATAAAGAGTTACTTTCCAAGTGATGTACTTCATTTTGTTTACCTGGTAGTAAAAAACAAACTTTTCCAACACTTGGCAATGGCTGGGGGATGTTGGGAAAGTGAGATGAGTATGGCTATAGACCAGAAAGCCGAATTAGAAATTAGTGTCAGAAAGCCAGGCAGTGGTGGAGCAGGCCTTTAGTCACACCATTTGGGAGGCAGAGGCTGAGGCAGGCTTCTAACCTGATCTACAAAGCTACACAGAGAAACCCTGTCTCAAAAAAAAAAATGTCAGCGTTCGGAAAGGGACACGGGACTAGCATTCCAGACCAGACAGTGATAAATGGTTTGGCACGGTGCCCTTCGATCGGCTCTCCAATCTACTCTCTTTCCCGCTGCTCTGGGCCAGATCCACCTTTAAAGTGGTATCGCGAACGCCCACACCATCTGCAAGTAGGACAGATGGGGTCTGCAGAGGTCTGACCCTCGTGCTAGTGACTCAAGCATAGAGGACATCACCAGAAACCGAGCAGACAGACAACTTTGGAGGGAGAAAGAGGCCACTAAGTGAGCTGGCTACTAAGGAATCTCTCACAGCTTCAAAGTCACGGGTTTAAACTATAGGCGGGAGCTCACGGAGTGTGGTGGAGGCGGGGAGGAGGGAGGGGCCAGTCCCGGACCTGGGCGGTGTCTTCCGTGTTCCGGCCCGCAACAGCGACGTGGTCACGCCCACCTACTTTGAGTGGCAGTGGCGCGCACAGCCCAATCTCCCGCCAATACTCCTCGGCCCGCGAAGACGCAACCAATCAGAAACCAGGCAGGCACAGCGCCAGCCTCCTGGAAGGCCGTCGGGAGCCGCCAGTTTCTTTTCACTTTAGTCGGGCTATGGCATTTCCCCCACCATCGTGGGCGGCTGCATCAGGCGTTGGAGTCTGGTGACTGCCTGCCGTTCCGGGGCTTAGGTCCGAAGTGGGGCCGCCAGCGGGGCGCTCAGAGTCGAGAGGGCCTCCCCTACAGCTGGGCGCCCGATGGTTTCGTCCGACCCCGCGCGCGCGCGGGAGTTGCTGAGGGGCGGGGCCGCTGCGCATTTAAGGGCGGTTGGTCGCGGCGAGCTCAGACCTCGTCAGCTGTCGCCCAGTGAGCTTGTTGCTGCTGCGCCGCCCTTCGATCCTCTCCCGCCATGGCCTGCAGACCTAGAAGCCCACCCCGGTATGGGAGCCGCCACGACGCCGGTGAAAGGTAAGTGGGCCATGCAGTCTACAAGTCTTCGTCTCCAGTTGTCTGTGAGGTAGGGGTCCCTGAAACACCGAGCTAGTAGGGCCCCGCCCACTGACCGCAGTCTGTGTCCTCAGCCCGCGGTCCCCTGCGAGATGGAGTCTCGGACGGAAGCGCAGAGCCGACGGAAGGGACCGGAAGCCCGAGGACTCTGAGGAAAGCGAGCGCCAGATTGCGGACCGTCGGCCTGAAAGGTGGGCGCTGGCCCAATTCAAACGGGTTGGTCACTTGGTGGTCTGGAGGAGGGCCAAGGGACCCTCATCCCATTGCACTCGCTTTCTAGGAGCTGTTGGAATAATTAGGTGACTTTGGATTCTCTTTATTTTCGCTCAGTCTTAGAAGCAGCTTACCAGCGACTGATAGGTGGCAGCAAAACTGGTTTTATCCGGAGTGGGGGAGCCTTTATATTCGCACACCTTGCTAAAATGTTTTGACACTCCCTCCCCCGCCGTGTGTGAGAGAGAAATTAGGTTTTATTACCTGAGTGAAATCCAGATGTTAAAACCAAAGTTGAATTGAAACCTCGTGATGTGCCTGGGTCCCTTCCATCTGATAAGCTTTTGCCACAGTGTTTAGTTGTTGTTGCTTTTAAGGTGAGGCACCGTGTTGTAGCCAATGAGGTCTCTTGGTAGTCTCATGGAGGAGTGCCAGCAAGTAAAATAGTTAATTCAGAGAGATCAGGAGTGTGAAGATTAAGCTGGTGATGTGAGCTGCTCAGGGATTTGCTCTGGGGACCTTTGTGTAGTGGTGACTGATGAGAAGAATAAATGATCTCGGGATATTTTGACCATGCCTTTCTATGGGGATATGTGGTCTGCTAGCCAGGGACTAGAAGAAGGGAAGGTAAGGACAGCTGCTAAGCCCAGGGAAGGGAATTGGTGGTTCAGGGAAGGTGGTGTGGAATTCAGACTTGTGAATACACTGACCGGAGATAGAAAAGTCAGACTGATTCAATCCTTTGATCATCTCTCCTTAGAGTTAACCCCCATGGGTGGTGGCAGTGGGTGGACAGACCTGTCTTGGGAGAGAGGCTGTCAAGTGTGAATGTGATTTACCAGCACATATTTGAAGGCTTTCAACCAGTTATGGGAGTATAGGGGAGGCCAAAGGACAGCCCTAAGGTAGGTAAAAGGAGAGGTGATACTGTATGCATCAGTAATCCCAGTAAATCTTAGGAGTTAGATGCAAGAGTATCAGAAGAAGCTCAAGGTCTTCCTTTGCTACCTAGTGAGTTTGAGCTTAGCTTGTCTCAATGACTGACTATCTTGTCTCAATGAAAATAAAACCAAACAGAAAACCTTATTGAGATGAAGATAGAAGCACAGTCATGGTCTCAATTAACCGAAGATAAAATGTTAGGTTGTTTTTTGTGTTTGCTTTTTGAAGACAGGGCTGTCCTGGAACTTCTAGGTAGATCAGACTGGCCTTGGACTCAGAGGTCCACCTGACTCTTAAGTGTTGGGATTAAAGGCATGTGTTACTACTACCCCAGGTTAGGATTATTTTTATGTGTATGAGTGTTTTGTAAGGTGTATGAGTGTACCACATGTATGCCTGATTCTTGTGGAGAAGAGGGCGTTGGATTCCCTGAAATTGAATTTATGGGTGATTGTGAGTTGCCGTGTGGGTGCTGAGACACCTCTCCAGCCCCAAGTGTTAGAATCCTAAATTCTCTAGGTCTTGGTATCTTGAGCCCTAGTTCATAGGTGGTCCCATAGCCACTTCATTTTACCAGTGACAGGGTGCTTCTGTGCATTAGCATTTTACTTTTTTTCCTCTTAAGAGATTTGTTTATTCACATCTGTCTTCATGCACACCAGAAAAGAAAATCTGATCCCATTACAGATTGTTGTGAGCCACCATGTAGTTGCTGGGAATTGAACTCAGGACTTCTGGAAGAACAGTCAAGAGCTCTTTGTGCATGTCTGTCCGTGCATGTGTGTGCTTTGAGAGGGTTTTTGTTTGTTTGTTTGTTTGTTTGTTTTTCAAGACAGGTTTTCTCTGTATTGCTTTGGAGCCTGTCTTGGAACTAGCTCTGTAGACCAGGCTGGCCTTGAATTCACAGAGATCCACCTGCCTCTGCCTTCCAAGTGCTGGGATTAAAGGTTTGAGATACCACCCTCCAGCATGGTAAACTAATCCTTAGTGAAGTAAAGTTACAGCTGCCAGGCTTGGTGGCACATGCCTTAATTCCAGCACTTGAGAGGCAGAAGGCTCTCGAGTTCAAGGCCAGCCTATATAGTGAGATCCTGTCACAAAAACAAAAGAAAAATTTTTAAATTCACGAGACTTGTTTATTACCTTTTCCACATAATTGTGGTGCAATCTCTCAAAAGTCTTCTGGACATCATTAGACAACTACTAACCCACTATGAGTCAGTGCTAGATTATGGGAAGTCTACTAGGAAGAGTCAAGTTGCTAAAAATATTGTCAGTACTACAAACAGTACCTACAATGGAATCTTGTGAGTCTTGTGTTTCTGAAAAGTAAACAACCTCATCTTACTGGCTTCTCACCATGGGTTTTTCAGTGTTTAGCACTACAATTTTTTTTTTGAGCCTTAAAAATTCCTATAATATGGGCTGGATTGATGGGTCAGGTTAAGAGCACAAGGTGTTCTTCCAGAGGTCCTGCCTGAATTTTAATTCCCAGCAACAATATGGTGGCTCACAACCATCTTAGATCTGCTGCCCTCTACTGGTATGTAGGCATTCATGCATGCAGAGCACTGTATACATAATAAAATAGGTTTTTTAAAAAATCCTATAATACTTTGTTTTACAGCTAGCACATTGAAGCCAGTGGCTAACACCTGTATTGCCAGCACTTATGAGGTAGCTGAGGGAGGAGAGTTTTCAAGACTATATGATGAGACTGTTTGAAAACATAAAGCCAAATTCCATTGTAGGTACTGTTTGTAGTACTGACAATATTTTTAGCAACTTGACTCTTCCTAGTAGACTTCCCATAATCTAGCACTGACTCATAGTGGGTTAGTAGTTGTCTAATGATGTCCAGAAGACTTTTGAGAGATTGCCTAAACTCACCTGTTTCCTTGGCATCCTGCCAAAGCAGTGCCATATTCTTTCCTCAAAAAGCAGAGATAAAGTGCTCATTTAAATGCATTTTTCCTTTATTGTAGCTTTACGACTCCTGAAGGCCCTAAGCCCCGTTCTAGATGTTCTGACTGGGCAAGTGCAGTTGAAGAAGATGAAATGAGGACCAGAGTTAACAAAGAGATTGCAAGGTACACACTTTGTAAGATTTTGTGTGTGTGTGTGTGTGTGTGTGTGTGTGTGTGTGTGTGTGTGTTTCAGTTACTATATTCATAGAATGTCTTAGAATCATGGTTCTTAAAAATCTATTCTTTAGGGATTGGGATTGTTGCTCAGTGGTAATGAGTTTACCTAGCATGATGAATTCCTGAGTTTATTGATCCCTGGACAGCCAAAAAGGGAAAATATCTAGTCCTTAGGCTATCATTAGCATCTCTTGGGAACTTGTTAGAAATACATATTTGCAGGCTCTTCTATTTAAGAGCTTCCTAGTTTAAGAACTACTGTCTTAGTAGAAATAGGTGAGGTGCTGTGGATGGCAGTGATGGGGGCTTTCTTTTCATGTTGCTCTCTGACAGAGCTAGTGTCTTACTGAACTCAGAACTTGCTAATTTGGTTATTCTACTTAGCCGGTTTATCCTGGAGATGCCATGTGTCTGCCTCACAAGTACTGGAATTACAGGTGGACCACCACACCCATCTAGGATTTTATGTGGGTGGTACAGATAGATCCAAATTCTGGTTCTCACATTTATGTGAAAAAATTCTTTATCTATGGATTTACCTTGGAAACCCTAGGTTTTGTTTGTTTGTTTTTCAAGGCAGGGTTTCCTCTATTGCTTTGGAGCCTGTCCTGGAACTCACTCTGTGTACAAGGCTGACCTTGAACTCACAGAGATCCACCTGTGTGCTGGGACTAAAGGCGTGTGACACCAACACCTGGCTAGGTTTTTCTTTATTGTTTTTAGCAGTACTGGAGGTTGAATCCAGGTACTTGTGTATGCTCTCTGACAAGAGTACTTACTTTACTTGGTTGGCATAATGAAACCAGTTCATGTCAGGTGGTGATGGTGGTGTATGGCCTGTTCTACAGAGTGAGTTCCAGGACAGCCAGGACTACACAGAAACACAGTCTAGAAAAACAAAAGAAACCAATTTATAGTGTTACCCATAGCAGCCCACGGAGTTGCCTTATCTTTTAGGTAGCTTGACTAAGGTAAAACCAGATCCTTGGCTTTGCCAGAGAAAATTTCAGGATGAACCATTAGGAAGCAAAGTTGGAGGTTATCAAAAGACATTTCTAATGTTTAGATTTTAAACACAGACTACTAGAAAGAGATGCTGGGAAAGAAAGTAAAATACCCCAGAGTTTGGATATGGACTTTTCAAAGGAGTAACATTTTGTTGTCTTTATGGTGGTTATATATAGGGTTTTAGTGATGCAGAATTATTTTCAAAGGATTGTTAAAGAATTTAAAAAGTTATAGGGAAGTTCCTGAGGTGTACATAATTTCAGTTGATAGTGTAAATAAAACTAAATCGGTGTAGAGAGATGGTTCAATGGATGGAGTGTTTGTTTGCACAAGAGTGAGACCTGGAGTTTGGTCCTAGCACCTATGTAAAAACTGGGTGGGCACAGTGGTTTACCTATAATCCCAGAACACCTGAGAAGCAGAAATGGAATTCCCAGAGGCAAACTGGCTAGACTACCCAGATCAAGGCCAGCAAATGGCTCTGTAGGGAAAGGCACTTACCTAATGATCCAAGTTCATTTTCTGGGAACCAGCTCCTCTGACCTCCATGTATGTTTGATAACACATTAGAACCCACACACAAATGAAAATGTAACAGATTAGCTGAACTGTGAGCTCTGGGTTTGTGGAGAGACCTTTCCTCAGTAAATAGAAAGTGCCTTTGGAAGATAGCTAGTAGATTCTCTGGCTTGGTGTTACAAAATTCCCAGAAAATAGATGGGTGTAATTGCATACACTGTTAACCTAGCGCTGGGGAAGCGATGAATATCTTGAGTTCAAGGCCAGTCTGATCTACGTAAGTTCCAGGAAAGCCAGGACTACACTTAGATGCCCTGTTGTCAATAACAACAACAAAAATCCAAAATATCTGGGAGAGAGAGAACCTAATGAAGGTTTAGCACATAGTAATCCTTAAACCCAATTTCTTTTTTTTTTTTTTTTTTTTTTTTGGTGAAAAAGTGTGTATTTGGATTAGCCAGCTGGACTCAGTTTAAATGATCCCAATTTTGTTGGCAACATCCAGAGCATCATAATCAGGAGCCAACCGAACATACACCTTCTTCTCTCCGTCAGGCCTTATGAGGGTGTTGACTTTGGCCACATCGATGTCATAGAGTTTCTTTACAGCCTGTCTGATCTGGTGCTTGTTGGCCTTGACGTCCACAATGAACACAAGTGTGTTGTTGTCTTCTATTTTCTTCATGGCTGACTCAGTGGTCAGGGGGAATTTGGTGATGGCATAGTGGTCAAGCTTGTTTCTCGGGGAGCGCTCTTCCCAGGGTATTTGGGCTGCCTCCGGAGCCGCAGGGTCTTGGGCCGACGGAAGGTGGGTGATGTGCGGATCTTCTTTTTATGGCTGTGGACGCCTTTCAGCACTGCCTTCTTGGCTTTCAAGGCCTTCGCTTTGGCTTTGGGAGGGGCAGGAGCTTCCTTCTTCGCTTTCGGTGCCATCTTGGTGAAAAGCTAAACCAATTTCTTAACCTTTTTTTTTTTTTTTTTTTTCCTTGCTCATAAGGTTTGGCCTTAAACTTCTGATCTTGTTGCCTCCACCTCCCGAGTGCTGGGATTGGAGTCATGTCACTGTGTCCTAATTATGTAGAGCTAGGAAATCAAATTCATGCATGCTAAGCAACCACTTTAAGACTTTTTGAGACAAGATTTCAATGTGTAAAACGAGGCTGGCCTCAAACTTGGGGGCACTACTAATTTTCATTGATTTTTGTTACCTGTTCTTGTTTTAGTCTCCAGTCAAATGAATAGTTCATTATTAGTTGAAATATATTGTTGGAATAAAAGATGTAAACCAAGTAGTTAGGAGGTCAGATAGGATTTGTTTGCCAATTCTGTGTGGCCTAATGACAACAAGGCTTCCTGTCTCCATCTTGGCAATAGATGATGTTTGGGTTTTGCTAATCACCTTGTCAAGGTTTTTTAGGGCCCAGGGAACCTCTGCAAAGGGTGTGTTTTCTTATAAATGGGTTGTTTTAAACAACAGAGTAGGCTCTTGACAAATAATATACCTTCTGAAATGATGTATAACTTAGAGATGTTGAAAATAGACCAGCTGACATTGAAGCCAGACAAGGCAATTTAGACTTTGCCTTTTAAGAAAAAAGGCAGAGCTAAGAGAGCTTAGTAAAGTGTGTGCCTTGTACTAGGGCATGTGTTAGGTACCCAGAACCCATGTAAAGAAGCCATGTGAGGTGATGTATGCTTGTAATCTAGTACTGGGGAGGCAGGGTATGAGAATTCCTGAAGTTTCTGGCTAGCCAGTCTAGCTGAATTGGCAAGCCCTAGGCCTATGCAGGGCCCACAGAGATGGGTTCTCTTCATCTTGATTTAAGGTCAGAAAGTTCAAACCCACTATTACTCTCTCAAGGTTCAACAACAGAATGTTTGGCCTAATGTCTTACTTTGACAACAGGGTGGGTATGTAGCCTAAGGTGTGGCTATTGTCTTGTCTTGATAATAGGATGTTTGGTTTGAGGTGCGGTTGCTTGATGTTTTTGGTATTGAGAATGTAATTATGCTTGTTCTTTGTATCTTGGCCAGGAAGTCTCTTTTCCTTTCCCCCACTTTTGATTAAGGTATATAAATTCTGTGTGTAATAAACTTTGGGCTTTTCCCCAGTATTCTTGATGCACCCTCCTGACTCTATCTCCTATGACGCTGTCTTTAGTATTTATAATTTTTTGGCCTGTCATTTCTTAATCCATGCTCCCTCCTCTGAGGCACGGACACTGCTTGCAGCCTAGACCTTGTGCCAAAGCAAAGTGGGATGGCTCTGAGGAATGATAATGAAGTTTTTATGTCCTCTACGAGCATACATGAGCATGCCTTAAACACAGGAAAGGAAAGAAAGTTTTGAAATTTTTTTTTTGAGGGACAGGATTAAAATTTACTTGGAACATGAATAGCAAGGAAATAGACTCAAGAGAAATAATGCTGGGCCAGTGAGATGATTCATAGGCAAATATGCGTCTAAGCCTGATGACCAGAATTTGGCTTTCACAAGTTGTTCTGTGACCTCTGCACATGTGCTATGGTATGCATGCACAAACACAATACAGTTTTTTAAACAGGGCTAAAGTGATGGCTCAGGTTAAAAGTACTGACTGTTCTTGCACAGGACCTAGGTTTAGTTTCTAACACCCACATGGAGGCTCACAGCTGCTTGTAGCTCAGATCTTTTGTATATGGATGTTTTGCCTCTATATGTGTGTCTCTGTACCCTATGTATGTGCCTGGTGTCCACAGAAGCTAGAGGGCATCAGATCTTCCTTGTGCTGGGGAATAGAACCTGGGTTCTCCGGAAGAGCAGCCAAGTGATCCTAACTGCTAAGGCCAAAAAACATGTTTCTAGAAATTAAAAGAAAAAAGTTCATCTCCTGTTCTAACCCACCCCTCTAAAGTTTTTAGTCAGGGCTAATGTAAGTAAGTCCAGGCTAACCTGAGACTCAACATTCTTCCATTCCCAAATTATGCTATTCAGGAAAAAAAAGAAAGGCTTCGTTCTTATTTTAGAAGTACTATTTTTTGTTTTATGTGTTTTATGCTTTTAAAAACAGTATTTTATTTTGTTCTCAGATACAAGAGAAAACTACTCATAAATGACTTTGGAAGAGAGAGGAAATCATCATCAGGAAGGTACGTGCTGAAACATTTCTAGTTTGTTAATGAAACTTTTGAGTAGCTTGTCCCAGTAGCATTTATTGATAATTTGTTCTTCATTGTTGTGAACTGGAAATCCCTATAGTATAGATTGGGTTTTTTTGTTGGATTCATATCATTTGAATGAAGAGGGGGACTATTACAGTATTTTCTTGGCACACAATGATCTTAAGTCCAAGGCATGTTTAGTTTACTCTCTTTCTTTTTAGTTCTGATTCAAAGGAGTCTATGTCTTCAGTGCCAGCTGATGTGGAAACAGATGAAAGTGTTTTGATGAGAAGACAGAAGCAGATCAACTATGGGAAGAACACTATTGCCTATGATCGATACATTAAAGAGGTCCCCAGGTAGTGTTGTCACATAGGCCTGTCTTATCTTGCCCGACAACCATATCTTCTATTTATTAGCAGCTCGTAAGAACTTAAGTACAGGAATAGATTGTCATTTGAAAGGCTGGGAACATGAAGATTAACAAGCAATTCTTTTCATAGCTTTGACTATTAGCATTTTATCCTCAGGACTTACAAAGTACATGATTTTATACAAGCACATAGTTACTACAAAACACAAAAGAAAGATAAAAGTCAAGTTAAAGAATGTGTAAGTATTTAACTGGAGGGCTAGGTATGGTGGTTTTTGTTTTTAATAATTTATTTAGCCTTTATTTTATGTGCATTGGGGTGAAGGTATCAGATCCTCTGGAACTAGAGTTACAAACAATTGCAAGCTGCCATATGGGTGCTGGGAATTGAACCTGGGTTCTCTGGAAGAGCAGTCAGTGCTCTTAACAGCCCTGTGGTGGGTTTTTCTTTTTAATTTTTTTTCTTTTCTTTTTTTTTAAACTAAGATTATGTGTATGAGGTCAGGTAGTGCTGGTTCATGCTTTTAATACCAGTGGGGTGGGGGGCAGCAGAGACAGGCAGATTTCTTGAGTTCCAGGTAAACCAGGGATATGCACAGAAGTCCTGTCTGGGGAAGGAAAAAGAAAAGATGTGTATGGATGTTTTACCTTTGTGTATGAACAGTATACCATGTGCATCCCTGGTCCCTGCAGAAGCCAGATGAAGTTGTCAGATTCCCTGGATCTATAGTTTGATGGGTTTGAGCCACTATGTAGGTACTGAGTGGGTCTTCTGCAAGAGTAATAAGTGCTCTTAATCACTAAGCCATCTTTCAGTTTGTAATTGGAGGGAAAAAATGTCATTACTTTGTTTAATGTAAACATGACAAACATATAGTTTTTTTTGTTTTTTTGTTTTATCTTTTGGAGTCTTTTGGGCAGCATTCAGAAGCAGGGTTTCTCTGTATTGCTTTGGAGCCTGTTCTAGAATTAACTCTGTACACCAGGCTGGCCTTGAACACACACAGAGATCTATCTGCCTCCTGAGTGTGCCACCAACACCCGCCCCCCCTTTTTTTTTTTGTTTGTTTGTTTTTCAAAACAGGGTTTCTCTGTGTCATGGTCCTTGCTGTCCTTGAACTCACTGAGATACACCTGCCTCTGCCACCCAAGTGTTGGGATTAAAGCTACAGCACCACTGCCCAGCAAAACAGGCTTTTAAAGTATGGACTCCAAAGGAATAGTAAGATTTGAAGAAATGGTCTTTCTGGGTGGCCTCATTTACCCATTCTTTTGCCCTAGCCTCCTAAGTGCTAGGAATACAGGTTCATGCTTGGTTGAAATACTGCTTTTAATGCATTTCTTTGCTCATCTTATAGAATCTCAGTTACTACTGGGTGTGGTGAAACATGCCTTTAATTACGAAGAGACAGGAGGATCTCTGAGTTTGAGACCAGTCAGGTCTACATAGGGAGTGACAGGCCTACAATGAGAGACCCTGTTAATGTTAACCTCAAAGTATGCTTAGTCTTATCTACTGTGCAGGTGTGAATGCCTTGTACTGAAGTAATATTATGTTCTACAGACATCTTCGACAACCTGGAATCCATCCCAGGACTCCCAACAAATTTAAGAAGTATAGTCGGCGGTCATGGGATCAACAGATCAAACTGTGGAAGGTGGCTCTGCATTTTTGGGATCCTCCTGCTGAAGAAGGATGTGATTTGCAAGAAATGTATGTCTTTGTTGCTTTCTCTTTCCCTGTCACAGTGGCAGATTATCCTGGAAGTTGTCAAGAGAACATACACACTAGCCAAGGAAGAGCTTATTCACTCCCTGTGCTGGGTTTAGTCTTTTGGAGCTAGAAAACAGTCTAGGACAATTGGCTATATATGTGCCAGGTCAGAGGTCAGCCTTGGGTGTCAGTCCTTTCTACCTTGTTTGAGACAGGCTCTCACGTTTGTGATGTTTGTCACTGTGGGCCAGGTGTCCTGTGAGCTTTCTTTGTTGTGGGTTTGGGAATTCATAATTAGGACCTTATGCCACATAGGCATTTCCCACTGAGATATCTCCCCAACCCTATTTGAGGGGTTTTGGTTTGGATTTTTGAGATAGGGTCTCCTAGTACTCTGTCTTGAGGTTAGTCCAGGTAGGCCTTGAACTTAGAGATTCTCCTGAGTGCTGAGATTAAAGGTCTGTGCCACCATGGCCTGTCCCCATTTGATTCTTGGGTAGTCTGGGGCCTCCTGCATGCTGAGCAAGCACTCTGCACACTGAGACACATCCCTAGGTGCATTTTTGGAGTTTTGACTAGGGTCTTAATTATGAAGCATAGGTTCAACTTGAAGTGCTGCCTCAGAAGGTATTGTGGTACTACCATGCTCAGCTTAATAGCATTCCATTCTGCTCACCCCAGAAGAAAGGTGGTCTTGCTAGCTTTGCAAGAATGTTTACAGGGCCAGGAGTGAGTCCCAGCACAACCAGAACTATATAGAGAGACTTTGTCTCAAAAACAAAACTAAACAGGACATTTACAGGTGTGTATGAATGACAGCACAGACTGTCAGATTCTTGTTTTCTGTGAGCCTGGGCAGGTCTTTCACTTGTTGCTCTCAGCTTTCTATGTTGAGTTGAGTGGTCAGGTTTTGACAAATGTAACTGGAAGCTGACCTTGGGGGCAACACACATACTGTGATGTGGGTGATGTTTGGTTTTAGTGAAAAAACTTAAAATTGTCATTTTCTGATGGTAGCAGGTAGGTGACTGACATGCTTGTTAAATTTATTTTCTCAGACAACCTGTAGACCTTGGGGAAATGGAGACAGAATTTACAGAAAGCAGCTCTGAGTCCCAGACGAGTTCACAGGACAACTTTGTAAGTGCTTCCTTTGGTTTTGTCTCTCAGCTTGGGTGTTTTAAGTCACTTGAAAAAACATACCACATTAAATACCGAGGTGTACATACTGATTGTGATGTTAGTGAAAAGGGGATTTCCCCACCCCCCCCCATCAAGAAACACCATATTGATCACAAATTGGGTTCTGAACATGTAACCTCAATTTGGGCTTTTGGTTCATTCTACCTTTAGTCACACCACTTTTAGTGATGAGCTACTGGTGTAGGGATTATCTCCTAAATGCTTGTTAAGTGAATAATTGTTTGGGTTTTTTTGTTTTGTTTTATTTTTATTTGAGAAGGGATCTCTTTTATAGCCCTGGCTATCCTGGCTCTCACTGTAGTCCAGGCTGGCTGGTTTTCTGCTTATAGAGGTTGCTGTTATCTGTGTGCTAGGATTTTCTTGGCCTGGGAAATAGTTTTTAAAGTTGCATATTTTAAAGCTAGTTGTGGTGTATGCCTGTACCCTCGGCCTTTGTGAGGTGGAGGCAGGAAGATCAGAGATTGAAGGCTAGCCCAGAATACACAAAATCCTATTTAAAATGGGTTAGCCAGGCGGCGGTGATGCACACTTTAATCCCAGCACTGGGGAGGCAAAGGCAGGCAGATCTCTGAGTTCCAGGGCAGTCAGGGCTGTTACACAGAGAAACCCTGTTTTGAAAAAAACAAACACCCAAAACCTATTAAGTTATGACTGGGGGTGGGGTGCAGTGGGGGATGAAGTATTTCAGTCCTAGCATTTAGGAGGCAGAGGCACTTGGAGTTCTAAATTCTAGGCCAGCCTGGTCTGTGTAGTAAATTCCAGGCTGCCAGGGCTACATAATGAGCTGCCCCTCTTTCCCCCTCCTCCCAAACTGAACTATACAGAATTGCCTTATGAGAGACTCAAACATAAGCTATTATAAGCTGTTTACTTTTATTTTGGGGGGGACAAGATATCTTTGTGTAACAGCCCTGGCTGTCCTAGAACTCACTCTGTAGACCAGGCTGGTTTCAAACTCAAGAGACCTGCCTGCCTACTTCTGCTATCCAAGTCCTGAGATTAAAGATGTGTGCTACCACCGCCCATTTATAAACTGTTCTTACTTGAACATATAAACAAAGGTTCATTGCTTTATTCTGGTTCCCAGCTGTGTCACTCCAGATGCACTCAGGTTGATTGAACTTTTTTTTACACCATTTTATACCATACAATATGATAGTGACAAACTGGAATATGAATGTGCACTATAGAAATGGCAAAATGATGCTGGTTTTGTTGACTTTGTCTTGCTGCTGAGCAAGCCCACTTGGGCTGGGGGTAACTTAAGAAGCCTGTGTGATCAGCTGATGTAGGTTGACTGCCTCTGTTTTCTAGGATATGTATGCTGGCACACCCACCAAAGTCAGACATGTAGACTGCCAAGTGGAGGATGAATTCGATTTGGATGCATGTTTAACTGAACCCTTGAAAGACTTCTCTGCCATGAGTTAACTGCCACCTGGTGGCAACTCTTGGAAATATTTGGCTCTGCCTGGTCATCTGGAAGGCTGGCTAAGCATGAGCTACTGTGCATTTGTATTTGTTTTCTCCTTTAAGAGTTTATTTTCTCATGATAAATTGGGTTTTTTTTTTTTTTTTTTTTTTTTTTGCCTTATTTTTATGTATGGTGAGTATTACACATGTTTTGAATTGTAAATTAAGCTAAATCTGGTGAAGACTATATCCCACACCCCCAAGTTAGAATGACAGCAGGATACTTGTGGTTTTTCACAAGAACTTGAGATTTCAGTTGCTGCTTTTCAGATGGGTTGGCAGTGGATTTTAACCATGTGTTTATGGGACCAATCTATAGTCAGCTGTCTTTACAGGTAACTATGAAGTCTTCTCAGTCAGGCAGCTCCAGTGACTTTGTAAAAACTTATTTTCTGGTCTTTATCAATGTGAATGTGGTTTTCTATCATACAGAGCTCTGAACAAAAATGTTAGGCTGTTATATTAATGGGCTTCATGTAAGTTATATAGTGTTAATTTGGAACTTGGAATAGCACTAGTGTGAGGTAGTATTTTAGCATGTGCTCTGAGAATTGAGGCAGAAGAGAGGGATTTAGAACTTTTTTTATGATCAGTTAATTTACCATGTAATATTGCTGTAAATGATAATGTGTACAGATACTCTGTTCATGTATTCAATTGTAAACTTGTCAATATTTGCATTTCTATTGCTTTTGTATGGAATGATAATTGCAAAAATAAAGATGTTTTAACTGATTTATAACATTGCCCTATACTGTGTGTCGAGAGGATCAGGGCAAGCTTTTCTTCTGCGCCTGAGGCACTTGCATAACATACGGTAATGGCATCTCCCTTTGAGTTAACCATGCCCAGATCTGGTGGGTAGTGGCCAAGTACCAGGCACTACTGTCATGTTAAGTCCCCACCCATCCCATCTGTAAAGGGGACCGTGATAGGTATCCTCTGGTTACATGTCAGTGTAGATCCCCACCATTCTCACGTGCCTAACCACAATGAAACCCGAGAAGCCAGCATGTCATCTCACCTGTCTTCAGTTCTTACTCAAATGCACTTGGGGTGTTAGGACTGTCTTAGGGTTTCAGTTGTGAAGAGTCACCATGACCATGGCAACTCTAATGAAGGAAACCATTTCGTTGGGGGTGGCTTACAGTTTCAAAGATTTAGTCCATTATCATCTTGGTGGCATGTAGGTAGGCATGGTAGTGGAGGAGCTGAGAGTATTCAACAAGAAGTAAACTATCATACTGAGCATACATAGCTTGAGCAAAGGAGACCTCAAGGTCCACCCGACAGCGACACTTCCCCCATCATGGCCACACCTGTTCCAACAAAGCCACATTTCCTAATAGTGCAGCTCCTTTTTGAGGGCCATTTTTTTTCAAACCACAAGGAGTCTTCCACATCTTCTGTGTTAAACTCTGGGCAAAGTGAACACTGGACCCTGGCATCTCTGTAGGTAGCCATTAGCTCAAAATGACATGTCCCAAACTTTATTGGAAGTGATAATGGACTTGACACAAGCAAGAGGTGGATAACACAGGCAGCTTCCTTCAAGGAGTTTCCAAAGGGCAAGTGCCTTTGTATGCTTGACACCTGTCTACCTGTAGGTTCTATGACAGCCACAGTAGATGGTCCCTGAAGGCTGTATTCTTTATATAGTGGGTATGAGGTCATCTGTTTAGTGGTCAGGTTGAGGTAAATGAGTGGATAAGGTAAGGGAAATGTGGAAATTGCTACTTTTTCAGGGAGTCTAGAGATGGCCTCATAGGCAGGCTGCATTTGAGTCATGCCTTGAAGGGCAAGCAAGTACAAAGGCCCTGAGGATAAGTTGACGATAAGCCTAAAATGTGGAGGCTAGGAGGACTTGGAACAATTAGTGAAAGCTGGAGGAAAGTGAGAAAGCTGGCCTTATACCTGCTGTCCTTGTGCTGGATAATCCTGACTGATACAGATAAGCTGTCTGCCTTGTGTGGGGCAGGCAGTACCTCCTGGCTTCTCTGGATAGAATGGTTACTGATACATTCAAGGTAGGCCTATTGAACCCACAGAGTGGGATGAGTATCTTTTCATTCCTGATAGCCAATGGTGCTAAAGTTAAACATATACCAGAATTCAGATTTTCTGTTAAAGGTAAGGATTGTGGCCTTTTAAGATTTACGAAGTTGAGAACTTTCAACTACTGATCTTACAAACCTGTTGTTTCCCAACAGAAGCCCCCAAAAAGGGGTACCTTTTCAAGAGCATATATATGTATTCACAGAGGTAAAATAATTCCTGTTTTGAAAGTTTGGCTGAACAAGAGTGGGCTGTGGAAGTGAAGTCAGCCTTTTGGGCCCTTGGGATCCTGCAAACAGTAAGCAGGCTCAAGAATCCAGTGACTTGCCTGGTGTGATGGCAACATGTCCCCTTCAAGTATGCAAGCTGCAGGCAGTAGTGGAAGCTGTAGGCTGTGACCAGTTTCTATCTAGCAGAGGATCACAGCAGTTCATACCTATGTGTGATACTTGATTTGTTCTAAGTGGGATAAGCAGCCAGGAAAGGCTAGAGCCTGGGTCAGGATTCAGACTCAGATTTAGCAGTGCCTGAAGTACTAGATCTTGCCATGTGTTCTAAAAAATGCCTTTTTTGTTTTTTTCCCCCTGAGACAGAATCTCCCTGGATCTTACTCTATAGACCAGGTTGACCTCAAACTCACAGCAATTCACCTCCATAAAGGCCATGGGGCTCTGCATTTGGCTCTAAATTTTTTGAATGCTCTTACACAGCAAGAAAATTAATCTTCATGCCTAGCAGTGGTGGTGCACGCCTTTAATCCCAGCACTCAGGAGGCAAAGGCAGTCAGATCTTTTGAGTTTGAGGCCAGCCTGGTCGACAGAGTGATTTCCAGGACAGCCTCCAAAGCTACAAAGAAACACTGTCTCAAAAAACAAACAAAAAAGCTTCAGACTTTAAGTCTTGCCTCTCAATGCTGGTAATATAGTCTAGTATTTTCTATATGAATTTATATTTGAATAACTAGTAGAGACTGAGTTACGTTTTTAATTTATTTGTGTGTGTATATTCCAAAAACATGAGCCATTGTGTGCATGTAGAGGTCAGAGAAAAACTTTCAGGAGTTGGTTCTCTCCTTCCACTCTAGATTCTGGAGATAGAACTGAGGTCATCAGGTCTGAGCCTCAACTGGTCCTAGTTCTCTTGACTCTTCAACATAGAGCCAAGAAATGTCAGAACTAAATTAAGTTGGTCCCAGCATGGTTAATTCTTCACAATCCCAGGCTAATTGCTATCTCGTCTCTCTCCTGTCTAGGGTAGATGGGTCAACTTATCGGGGTTGTCATCCCACAGCCTCTGGCTGGCTTTCTTTGTTGTGAAGCTGTCCTTGTTTCTGACTGCTGTCAGGATCCTGTCTTTTTAGTAGCTGCTGAATTGCTAACATCTTTGTCTCTGGTGGGAAACTCAGTCCAGACTCCTGGGTGAGTCCTCAACTCTGCCGGAACCTAAGGAATGGTGGGCAGCTCTTCTGATGAGCTAGCCCATGGGGTCCAGTGTTCTCCCCATCATCGGCAGATCTAACTGGTCTACGGAACAGTTATATTATTTCTTCTGGGCAAATGATATCCCTTGTAAATTGGCATTTAGGCCACTTGTCTACTTTTGTTGCTGGAGTTTCTTTCCAGCCTAGTCCCACAGCTACGTTGCCCCAAATAAACACACGGACATTATATTAATTGGCCAATGGCTAGGGCTTCTTATTGGCTAGCTTAATTATTAACCCATTTCTACTAATCTAAGTATTTCCACTTGGTCTTATCTTACTGGAGAAGGGTCCAGACCTGTTACTCCTTTCCTTGTTACATGTCATCTCTTTCTGCACCCTCTCTCTGCCTTCTCTCCCCAGAATTCTGCTCTCCTAGGTCTGCCTATCTTCCTGCCTCTATTGGCCAATCAGTGTTTTATTCATCAACCAATAAGAGGAACATACAGCATAACACCCCCCTCATACCATCTGTACTGGTGGTACCTGCATAACTCTATATTTCACAATGTTGAAGCTGGTCAGTGATGGCACACACCTTTAGTCCCAGCACTTGGGAGGCAGAGGCAGGTGGATATCTGTGAGCTTGAGGCCAGCCTGGTCTACAGAGTGAGTTCCAGCGGGGGGGCGGGGGGGAGAGACTGTTGAGGTTTTGTTTTTTTTTCTTTGCTGCTGTTTTAAACTATTATTACTTTAGTTTATTTTATCATGTGTATGGGTGTTTTGCCTGCATGTATGTATATCATGTGATTGCATTGTATGTGGAGGCCAGAGAGGCATCAGACCCCCTGGAACTGGAGTTAGAGATGCTTGTGAGGCACTATGTGGGTGTTGGGAACTAAACTTGGATCCTCTGCAAGAGGAGCCACTGCTTTCAACTTGAGCCATCTTTCTAGCCCCCACTTGTTTTAATACGCAGACTTTAGACATAAGGCACTTTATAAAAGCTGTGGTGATATTGCCTGAAGATCAGAGGGCAGAGCTAGCCACTAGCTAACCATAGAGATCTGGAGGTCTGTACAGACAGACAGGAAGTGATATAAGGAGAAAGAAACTCTTTTTGGTTGGGAAGTTGAAGAAAGGTGTGGCTGTGGTTTGCTTCTTTGTCTTTCTGATCTTTCAGCATTTATCACTATATCTGACTCTGGGCTTTTATTAAGACCTATTAGAACTCAAGCTACAAAGATGCATAAGAGAGCTGGCGTAGTGGATTATATCTGTAATCTCAGCACTTGGGAGGTGGAAGCAGGAGCATCTGGAGGAGATGAAGATGTCTAGGTGAGCTTCAGATACACAAGACCCTTTCTCAATAAAGCAACAAAGATGCCTTGATATTTTCAGGAGGGAGAAAGGTTCCTCTAGGTAGGAGCAAAGCTTCAAATAGGGTCTGTAAGGACTTGATGGCTGAGGGTTCAGCACTGGCTGACTCTGCTCTGTCATTAGTGTCTGCCCTGAGGCTGTCATACAAGAGAGCTTTCAGTGTGACAAGACCTTTCCTTCCCTCCCAGCCCTGTGTCCTTGTGGCTGCATGGCTTGCCTTCAAGATAATGTAAC